GGGGCAGTGGGAGGGGGCTGACCGGCGCGGCGGGCAGAGCGCGTGCCAAAGGCACTCGATATGAACCACACTGCCGGGTTCAAGCACCAGCACCAAGAGTGCAGTACTGTCCCTCCTTCAGCCTTTCCTCGTTACGTTTTTCGGATTGACTGGGGGGGGGGGTTAAAGTTGTTGTAAAGGCAGACGTATTGATTATGAATCCGTAAAAAAATCTTAATCAAGAATAGATTTTGAAAGCAGATGATACAAATTTAAGAATAGGTCTGTTTTCTAATTTTCTCTCATAATTAGCTGGAATTGTTTATGGTTGCTTGTTTTGCAATTTTGTAATTCGGCGTACAAGTGGCGTTGAGGAGGGGATAAGGCGCGGTTAGAGCGGCCGGCGTCGGTGGCCTATTATTGTTTGTGCTGGGACGGGGGGGACGGGGAGCCTACAGTATTGTTAGGCAGGTATCATCAACGGAAAAAGAGAAGCCGAAGTTGGGTTATGACAATCCCTGTAAATGAAAACTACAGTGTGAAACCGTATATTAAAACCACAATTTCAAACTGTTAAATTTTTATTGTAGGTTGTAGTATGAGCGACACGAAATAGGAGTTTTAAACTGTTAATTTGAAGTGAGACGTTGAGTACAATTTAAGCCCACACCTCCGCGCGAGATGCTGTGCGCTACTTGTGCGGCGCGCGACTCTGGTTGCTGAGGTCCGATAGTGTGTCGACTGTGATCAAGTCGCAACATATACAACTTTAACGAGGCGGAAGCGCCTGCGAAGGTCGGGATAGGCCAACCCGCCGGGCCTGTGAGTGCGCGCGTTGCCTACCCAGCTGCCCGCAGGGGCTCCAGTGTTACGACTGGCGCGCCAGGGCGGTAGGCGGGCGCCCTGCGCAATAAAACAGCCGCTAACAGGAGGAATAAAGTCTGGGATACGATTTCAAGTCAATTTTGTGACACGCGAGTCTGTTGCTTGTAACTATTCAGGCCAGGCACACACGTGTTGCCTCGGACGTAATCGATAGCCTCTTGAGAGATTGGATCCTCGGCGAAAGCTGCACTGAAGTCCCTTTTACGATATGTTTACTGATTATTTTGCGATGATTAATATTTTGTGAATCCTATGCTAGAACAGGCATGATAACTTTATAAGGTAAGGGGAGAAATTCATTGCAAAAATAATTCTGTAACTTTTCAACGCAAAAACTTGCGATTAAAATAAATGTCTTATTATTGCCAAAATTTGTGAAGCAAAGTTTTATTATTTTCGCAAAGATGTTCTTCCTTTGATTTTATCAATTTTGCGATTAAAAGTTATGATGCTCTCTAGCATTTTAATCACAAAAATAATTGTCACAAATTTTTGATTAGCTATCGTAAAACTAGGCTCAATGTGTGACGGGTTGTGCGACGTGGGTGAAGGCAGGAGATGGGTCCTGCGTCTCAGGGAACGGGGAATAAAAGTTGGCGTGGTCTCGGTTGTGTCAGCTATTCGTTAATTGGTTGGTCGATCATAAAAAGTACACAGCTACTTTAGTAACTTGATTTTGGAATTCATTCAATTAATTGTGCAGATAACCAATCTTAATCGAAGAAACACCTGCGTGAAGACACTAAAGTACTAAAGTGGCTGGATATGGAGTGTGAGAGGAAAATGTGCATGTCAGTTTTGTGTTAAAGCATTCCCATCGTCTCTTATTGTAGCAACGACTGGTACGTACACCTACAACTATTTCACAAACACGCACAATCACCCGCTACTCAATTCCAATCACGTTGACAGTACAGATTGCCACACCATTGTGTCCGTGACACGATAATACGTGGAACTATATGCACTACCGTCAACGTGATCAATATCAATATGGTCAATCGGCAAAGATAATTCATTTTTATGTGATAAAAAATATAAAGATCGAGTAGAAAATGTTAAGTACTGTTTTATCTAACATCGTTAAAAAGTAACTAAAACCGCCGTTGACCTTCTTCTCAAATAAGTAGCCTATAAAATTAAAATTTCCAATTAACGATCACTTTTTGTAGACGGTAACAAGTGTAAGAAAAATAAGGAGAGCGAATTTTTGATAAAAGCAATACATGTTCAGGGTTAAAACTCTCAAAACATCAAACTAAGCACAACCTCTTCAACTTAAAAAAAAAATGAGTTCGCTCTCCTTAGTTTGCTTTCACCGTGTAGATGTAGTTTGCAGGCTCCCGCGAGCCTCTTCAGCCCCCGAGGGCCTTCGAGGTCTGATTCCTCCTTCACAGTCCCGCCTTACTCCACCCCCTACCGGAACCTCGCGTACCCCTCCCTGCCCCACGCCCATTCAGCTGCCTGTTTCAGGTGTCATCCTATTCTCAAGTGCCGTGTACTTCGCCGAGGCCGGCTCGGAGATGTCATTCTTCAAGTCCATCCCGGACGCCTTCTGGTGGGCCGTCGTTACCATGACTACAGTGGGATATGGCGACATGAGGTAAAACCTCTCCCCCTTAGCGGTTCCCGGCGTCTGTCCACCTTCTCTCTGTCTTCCGCCTCCCTCCCTCTGTTTCTCGCTCCCACCTTTACACGACATGGACCTAAACACACACAATCATTCCCACATACACACAGACCTTCCAACGTCCTGCTTGCCCATCTTTTTGTGCCCGACACAATATGTTGCTGTATTTCGACAGGTGTGGTGCTGTTTTCGAGTGCCGTATACTTCGCGGAGGCTGGCTCCGAGAACTCTTTCTTCAAATCCATCCCCGACGCGTTTTGGTGGGCCGTAGTCACCATGACAACCGTGGGCTATGGAGATATGACGTATGATTGTTTCTCTATCTAAACCACTCTTTCTTTCATGCCATCAGCAAGTGCAGTTACTAACATTAGGTTATTTTACTTACAAGCTTACCGTTTATATCATCCGTATCATACTCCACGTTACTCTTTTATTTTAACAGCCATGTTTTTAGTTTTTATTAACTAACAAAACTAACGTAAGCTATTATATCACATGTAGTGTGCATTACCATGTAACTAATATTATTGAATAGTGAGCGTTAATTTATCTAACCACTTTAAGAGAACATTTTTTTATGTATTACAGTTATTTTTATTTTTCACTCACCGTCATTACGTTCAGAGAAAATTCTTTGTTTGGGTTGGAATTTCATCAGTATATTGTAGATGTATTTTTTAGATGGCAGTAGCGGGTGCCAATTATGACATTTTAGTAATTCCCACCTTTGAATCCTCGATGCAATATGGGCCCTAGTTTGCATGCCCTTTACTATAAACTAAGGTAATTCAAAGAATCTGTGGCACAGTGGCAACACAAATAACACCTTCATGGCAACTGCATTGAACTCAGCGAAGTAACAAAGACCCTCGTGATGAGCTGCTCCCCGCGATCCCTTGGCTAATGCTGAAGACCATGTTAATCCACCTAGAAAGTTTACAAAGTCCTTCCAGATGATACCAGGGGGCTTCTTTCCCCGCTGACTTCTGGAACTAGACTACTATATGCACACGTGCTGTAAGGTTGCTGACTCGCTCTGACCGTAGAGCACCAAGGTCATACTGCTAAAACAAAGGTAGAACGTCGCACCGTCTAGGCTGTCAGGAAAGCTCAATTTCATCTTGCTCTCATGACCTCACTGTATTTGTCAGAGTCAGCCATCTTGCTCTCAGGGGAGCGACATAACTTTTCTCGCTACTTTTGCGTTTGAACTTATAGTCTTTACGTCAATTTGAGTTGGGTACTCCTACTAGGTTCGAAAGATGTCAATTTGAATATGGAACCTCCCAGGGGATGTTCGCACGATAAACGTCTCACGAAGCAATGCTTAAATCAGCGCCTGCTTTGCGCTTGGTAGGCCAACCCACCAAGCAGTGCCGTGAAAATGACGACCGGCCCAGGCCCAGGGCGCTTAAGTGTGGATGTGCGGAACTTGACTTGACTAACCATGGAGGCCTCTTTTGGCCCAAGGTTCTCGGTCCGGCCAATCAACGGGCAAAACGGCATTTGTTGCCGAACTTTACATCGCGTCACCACGAGGAACGTTTATTGTGAAGGCACCCTCAAGGGTATTTGCAAAGTTAAAGGTGCAAACATGTAGGACCTTTGAGACTTTTAAAGCCCTTCCAAAGGAATAATAGTGTGTTCCCTTTTAAATTGTGCGGAGATGTATAATTATTTTACCAGTGTAGTTTTGAAAAGCCAACGCGTCCTCTTGTGTTAGTGCAATACAAAATATAACAATGAGTGGCGAGGCCAGACCAGAAGTCTTCCTTTTTCTGGAAGGTTACGTCCATATTGCTGGTTCAAAATGGAGAAACACTTCTATGTTTATGCTAGTCGCGAGGTTGAAAAACAACAAATAGGAAACAATAATTGTCAATCTTTTAAAAGGATAGTATCGATATGTTTATAACAGCAAGAGGACTTTTTATACTCTCATGGTACAACTAATGAGTCCTTTTATTCTTTTAATTTGCGTATTTTTGAATTATTTTTTCATTGTACATTTTAAGTATCTGGTTTTTTCTACACCCGAACACTTTGGATCCTTTCTTCTTCCTTTGTCGCTTTTCTCTCTGATTTTCAAAACCTTCCTTTCCTTAACTGGTTTGGGTATAGAGTGGCCGATTGTATGTGATACTTTTTTGTTGGTGTTCGTGTTTAGCATGCTTACTTGGCTAATTATGTTGTATATCGGCATATTGCATACCCCTGTTTATGTTCAAATTTTGACTGATGCTACTTTCACTGCTCATGAGTTCCGCATCTTTACAATATACCCGAAAGAACCTGTGCAGAGTAACATTTACCGTGCAATTTAAACCGGGTAAACCATAAACCGGAGAAAGCATTAAACAAGATCAATATAAATCAGTTGAAAGAAAGTAAAATGTCTTAACTTTAGTATTTGCAAACATTTTAGAAACCAGAATATCAAACAACATTTTAATCAGCATTAAGTGTAAATTTTCTTTGTGTGTCAGACATTTCTTCCCCTCACTGTCGCTTGCTATCTTCGCGAAACTGCCCTTTTCTTGATCCAGAAAAGGTACACAAATTAGATAATTAGCAAAGGTACAACGAACGTGCTATTACCCTGTCGATTCAATTGCGTACACTGTTTATTTTAAATAAAGTGTTCATGGCATGTATACTTCAATTAATGTCTATGTCCATCTACGCTTTTATATATGTATACATCCCCATGTACATACCCATGTACGCATTTCTAAAGGCGTACATGCAACTTATACACATGTGTTTACACATTAATTAAAGTATACATGCCGTGTACACTTTAGTCATAGTATAAAATGATGTACACGTTTAAATTAACAGAATAATCAAAGACAGAAACACATGGGTGAACACTCGAAATAGGGAGGGACTTTTTTTGCACGTGGGTTAAATGTATCTTCGTGCACATCTTCAGTAGATACAAATTTGTCCATAAGGAGGTAGACGTTCTAGATAGACCAGGTACAAATGTTGTTTTTCTATAAGCTAGATCTAAATTTGCGTCTTATTACAATGTGCACAGTGGAACATCTAACGTATATCTACGTACAAAATTGTCCTATCTCATTTAGAGTAAAGGTGACATTTGATGTCAGTTAAAATCTGTCAGGAAATAATATATTGTCATATATTGACAATTTTTACAGCCGAGATTCCTCGGTAAACGGGAACGGGTCATTACTGGATTGCCAAATGGTTATCTTTTATTATAGTCCTCGCTGTGCCGTGTGTCAGGTCAGGGCTAACTGTAAGTTTCTGACGAAGAAGTGGTCTTGTAACGTACAAAGGGTTCTGCACCTTCCTATTACAAACTAAACCTTGGTATTACGCAGAGGTCGGCTTGGTTATACGAAGACAAAAGACAACGTGTCTGCTCATAACCCGGTGCTGTTTGTAATACGAAGAAAATCCGTTTCTTATATGGTGGTTCAAGATCGTTAGTACGTTACAAATCAAGTTCTTCATGATATGAAGCCTGCTCTCTGTAACGAGCTAAGAGTGCTGCATTATTAATGTGATAAACTGTGAGCTGTGCGCACTTAAGAGTTCGACACTTTATATATTAGTGTAAATTTGACTTTACTAATCAGTGTACGACACCGCGGTGTTGCGTGTATGCCTTCCTCTGGGGCGATAGTGCCTTACGGGCCAAGCGAGTAGGCAACCCCGCAACACTGCTTTGTCGTAGCAAACACACGGGACAGTTGGCGTACGCGGTATTCGGACAGTCCAGCTAAGCTAATGATAAGAGAAAGTCTGAGATTGTCGCATTATGCTCACGGTAACTAAATGGGCTATTAAAACTTTATAACTATCTTCTAGCACGTTAAGGTCGGATGAGCCACAAAATAGTTTACTGTTTTTCCCCATCCCTATGAATCTCCCACTCTGAAAATGCAAATAAAGCACTACCCTACCAATGAAATGAAACAAAAAATTATTCGGTAGATCAACTGCTGACAATCTCTATCAAATGTGACCACCACAGTTAGGGACTAGTGTGCCCATATTACAATAAATACTCTTTCAATTAATTGTTCTTTTTGGAACTGACCCCTACATTTGCTTGTCATTTTTGAGTAATCAATTCAATAACCTTAAATAAATAGCTTTAACATTTGAAATACTGCTGAAAATCGCATTTTCCAGTGGTTGCCATTTTTTCCACTGTCCCCACCTTAGATTTCTTGAGGCTTCCAGCCAACCAATCAGAGTGGGTTGAGTAATTGTAAAAAAAAAACCGCTGTACGTATTTTGTTTTTCAAGATCTCCATGGAGTGGAACAAAGAATTTTCTTGTTCTTTTCATACACTGGCCTAAATTTTGCTAAAAGGGGATGAGAACTTGGCAGGGAGCTGCAGTAGCGCGTTTATGTTCTATAGCACTGTTTTGCATGAAATTTAGATTTTCTGCATGTTTGGTGTTGCTTGAATTGTAGAGTGTAGCGTGCAATAACCGCAAAGGCTTAGTATCCTGACCTAAAAGGGTGTGAAAAGTAAATAACCGAGATCACGTCATTGCAGCAGAGATTCACCAATTCAGCCCAATGAATGTACGCTACTCTCTAATCCATTTTCATTGCTTTTCTCGTCGCATCTGATCTTGTTATCTCTATCGACTGATCTATCCTTACCTCCCTGGCACCATTCAATATGGTATTTCGCTGAATTCTGCGACCGAAAAATAGCAAGAAGATGAAAATAAGTGACAAACCTAACAGAGAGCATGCTGGAATGCGAAACTTCATGACGTTTTGTTTAACGAAACATGGGAGGTAACAAGAAAAGAAGGGGCATTGTCATGTGAAATTACTCACCCCCGCCTGTTTTCTCACCGGCGTGTCACTTCTTTACATCTTCTTTAGTCTCTAATCTCACGATTATTTAGCAAATAAACCCCTACATAAAATGCGTGTTTCTGACAACAATGTTTTTTACATGTGTCCTGGACCCATAAACTCTCCATCTGCAATCCAACTGTACGATTCTTTCACTTTTAATGTAGCCCAGCGGTGTGAGACCTTTAAAGTCTCGTGCATTCTGTCATAAAACGTTATTTATAATTAGGTGATGAAGAATCCTATGTTTGACGAGCAAAGACAAACTCTCTTCTGGTGAAACTTAGTGTGCCGCATGTAATGTGGAGAGTCTATCACACCGCCGGTCTATCCCAAGTGGTTGGGTAAAGCTGGCCAAAATAAACCGCCTCATCTTTGAGTCATCATTTCGTTGCGATTTCCTTGATGTTAAGACGGGTTACGAAGATATTAAAACACGTGTCG